TGAAGAATTGCAAATCACAGACACAGAATAACACAGTGAGCCTCAGACGCCAGTGATGAGTTCATGGTGAGGAGTTCCAGATGTTAACATTTCTAGGCAGTGCTGGGGATCCAGTCCAGGAGTTAGAACATGGCAGGAAAGTTCTCCACCACTGAGACATATCCACAACCAGTCATGACAAAGGTTATGTGAACTACTGTGAAGGATTAGTTTAGACAAGCTCCAGAGCTTGGGCACTGGCAGGTCAAACTAAAAATCAGAGTGTCAGACTAAAGTTCCAGATCACCAAACCAAGAAATGAATTGTTTTCTGACCTTCGGAGAAATCAGGAAGAAAAAAGGTCACCAAATTTTCCATGCAGACAGGTTTCAGCTGGCACGACAATGAAAGTCTCTGCCTGCAAATGGAAACTAGCGTTATCTGGTTACTATTATTATTATTTTTTAAATTATTGTTCTGTTTCCCTCTCCACACAAGGAAATTAACCTTGAAATGACCAGTCTACCCTTTGCTCTCTGTTCCTGTCTATAAAACCAAACCCCTTACTGGGTGTGGCTGTTAAGTTTGTGAGTTCAAGGCCAACCTGGTCTATAAAGTGAGTTCCAGGACATTAGAGAAACCCTGTCTCGAAAAACACTATAAAAAAATAATAAAAACAAACAAACAAAAATGACTCCGCTGCTCAGCTCACCGGAACGTTTATTTTAGGAAGGTGGTGTGGTGGTTTAAATGAGAATGCTCCCCACCCATAGGCTCATGTCTTTGAATGTTTGAGTCCCAGTTAGTGGACTGTTTAGGAAGGATTAGGGGGTGTGGCTTTGGGGGTGGGGCTGAGGGGTAGGCTTTGAGGCTTCAAAAGCCCACACCTGACCTAGTGTTGCTAGCTAGCTGCCTGGAGCTTGTGGATCGGATGTAAGCTCTCAGCTGCTGCTCCAGTGCCTGCCTGCTGCTGCCACACTCTCCACCTTTGTGATGATGGCCTAACCTCTGAAACTAGAAGCAAGCCCCCAGTAAAATGCTTTATTAGTTGTGTTGGTCATGGTGTCTCTTCACTGCAATAGAACAGTGTCCAAGACAGGTATGTTTCCCTTTCTAGAATGCCAATTAAGCTAGTGAAGATCTGACATGTGTTTGCTTTCATTCTATCCTGTGACACCCCAATTGTTCCGGAAATGGGGTGCACGCAGCCCTCCCACTATCCTTCCTTTTCCTCTGTCTCTTTTGCAACCTTTAGATCAGAAACAGACTTTCCCACCTAGAATATGGGCAAGAGTCACAGATTTTATGGATGAAATATTTCACTCCAGCAACAGTTAGCTGTGTCTTTTAAAAAATTATTACACTTAACTATTTTATTTTACCTTATTTATGTGGGGCGCACACGTGCGTGCATGTGTGTGTGGGTGCCACAGCACACCTGTTGAGGTCAGAAGAAAACCTACGGGCGTTGGCTCTCTCCTTCTAAGCGGTAGGTCCCAGAGATCAAGTTTAGGTTGTCAAGTTTAGCGTTGAGTGCCTTTACCTGCTGAGTCACCTCACCAATCCGCCAATTCCCTTTTATTCTGATATTTACAGGGTCATATAAAGTTTAAAAAAATACCGTAACTCTTTTGGGGCTAAATCTCAGCTACGTGTTATTTCATTTATATTTGGGTGTTTTGGGGATTGGACCCAGGGTCTCACACATGCTACGTGCGTGCTATACCACAGAACTCTGCCCCTAGCCATATCACCATATTTTAGGGATTCCTAGGTGTTACAAAGGCAACCCTCCTTGGGAAGTAGGGCCTAGTGTACATATCTACCTTAAGACTCTCTGTTTTGATTTGGTTTATACTTATTTGGATGAAATTTACTATAAAAATGGATCTAACAGTTGTTTGCTAATGGGGATATTTTGAGGTTTTTCTTGTTAAGGTGTGGTGATATTTCATTTGCGCTCTAACAAATAAAGCTTGCCTGGGGATCAGAGGACAAAGCCAGCCACTATATTAAACACAGAGGTCAGGCAGTGGTAACACACGCCTTTAATCCTAGCATTTGGGAGGCAGAGATTCCTCTGTGAGTTCAAGGCCACACTGGGACCAGAGCTAGGCGTGGTGGCACATGCCTTTAATCCCAGCACTAGTTAACCAGAGAGGTCTGGGGGTCTGTACAGACAGACAGGAAGTGACAGAGCTGAGCGGAAAGAGGAAGTGATGTAGCTGGGCAGAGAGAGGAAGTAAGATGCAGGGCACAGAAAGGCATGAGTATACAGGAAGCAGCTCTCTTGGGCAGAGGATTTCCTAGTGGTAAGAACTTGTGGCTGGCTTGTTCTGTTCCTCTGATCTTTCCACTTTCACCCCAATATCTGGCTCTGGGGTTTTTTTTTTATTAATAAGACCTTTTAAGATTCATGTGACATTAAGGTCAAATAAATGTTGCCCTAGGGTATGTGACTTTCTTGAGGATTAATTGTAATGACTCAGATGAATGCTAAATGACTAACAAGGGAGACGAGGCTTTGAACTTGTAGAATGACAACCGAGGACAGAAGGAAGGTGGGGGGTAAAGTCTGAGCTCACCTCCTGGTTTTGAAAACCCATCAGTTCCTGAGCTCGAAATTCCACTAGTCCCTGAGCTTGCCCCAGATCAGGCCACAAAGTCCCACCAATCCCACACCACCCTGGAAAGTTCTGCACACACACACCCCAAGAAACCCTCTGTAAAGCCCGCCTCCTGCTCCGTTCCCTGCTGCTTCTCCCCAAGCAGAGGCAGCCATCCTCTTGTGTCTCCCAGCACATCTCACATGAGGTTTGCTGTGAGGGTGACTCTGTGGTATGCCTTGGCTCCCGACTGAGCTGCAACACTCACACTGGGGAAACTTTTTCTCTTACATTTGCAACGCTTACAGGCCATCCCTTGTTCCCTCTCAAGTGCTAGGATTAAAGGCCTGCACGCTACATCAGGCACCTTTCTGTTCTTGACTGTGAGGTGGCTAGTGGCTTCGAGTTCCCGCCACCATGACTTCTTCAAATGATGAACTATAACCTGGAACCGAGAGCCAAGTAAACTGTTTCTCTCTGAAGTTACTTATGTCAGAGTGTTTTATCATAGCAATGGGGAAAATAAACTAAGACAAAACCATGTTGGCAGTCCACTGATGCCTACTCTACTCTCTGCATTTAGCCTCTTGAGATTCCATTTAATCTGTGAAAAAAAGATAGCATACTGAGAAGGAAGAAATGAAGGATGGATACATGTGTACACTGCAATTATGAAATTCTTCTGGGAATGACGGCACATGCCTTTAATTGCAGCACTAGGAGGTAGGGCAGGTGGATCTCTGTGAGCATGAGATCAACCTGGACTACATACAGTTCCAGGAGACTCAAAGTTACATAACAGAGAGACCCTGTCTAAAAAAGGGGGGGTATTGGGGAAATATTTGATCACACCATGAACCCCGAGTTTGTATTTACATTGATTAAATGACATTAACCTTGGGTCAGGAGGCTGAGTTAGCAACTAGTTGACAGAACAAAATCACAGAGCATCAGAGGGCATCGGGGAGAGAGAGCGAGACACAGGAAGTAGTAGGGAGGAGATTGGAGTGGCGGCTTTTTCTGGTTTGGGGAAGCAGAAGAACGGGTCTTTTGGAGATGCCAGCAAGGAGAGAAGGTTAGCTAGTTATTGTTTGAATCTTAGCTGGTCTTTTAATAAAAAACCTGGTACCAGATATTGAGGTAAAAGCTGAAAGATCAGAGAAGCAGCCACAGCCACCTCACCTCGCCAACTCCAGCCGATCCTGTTCCCATGAATCCTCAGACTGAAAGCCTCTGAGTCTTCACCTGAAAGGGTCTCAGCTGGACTGCTTTAGTTCCTGTTTCCTCACGCCTTATATACCTTTCTCCACCCTGCTGTCACTTCCTGGGATTAAAGGCGTGTATGCTTCCCAGTACTGGGATTAAAGGTGGGTGCCACCACTGCCTGGCTCCCTTTCCAGTGTGGCCTTGAACTCACAGAGATCCAAACAGATCTCTGCCTCCCAGTAATAGGATTAAGGGTGTGTGCCACCACTGTCTGGCCTCAATGTCTAATCTAGTGGCTGGCTCTGTCCCCTGATCCTCAGGCAAGCTTTATTGGGGTACACAATATATCACCACAGCTAGTTGCTAATCAACCTCTTTGAGCTCACAGGTTTTCACCCCAGCCTTTGAGTTTTGAGTCTTATTTATAAATAGAATGATGGAGGTTTAGTTAAAGCTACCTTTAGCAGAAGCAACAGGGCCGGTGCCTGGGGGAACAGAATTCTGGCCAGGCTGCTGCTAGAGAAGCAGGCCGGTAACTGTGGAGTCCCAATTGCTGGCTGAAACAGCAGTAGATTAAGGCGCAGCCACTGTGCCAAAATTAAAACAACAGGGGGTTATGAATTGCCGATTTTTTACACTTGGAACCTTGAGAACTTTAATTCAGTCAAAGGAGGGCACTGGAGCCGACCTTTAGTCCTTGCTGATTCAATAGCCTGGGCCCTGTAACACCCTCCTCAGCTCTGGTGGTGGCATCACTCATAGCAACCAGTATCTGTGTGTGCTCAGGGGTCACAGACAAGGCTAGGCTATTTTTCCTTCACATAGAGTATATGAGATCTATTTACTAGTCTGTGGGTGCAGCCACTAACAAAGCGTGTGGTGCTATCTGTGAAGCTGCCGCTCTGGCTCTGAGGTAGCTCATTTCCCTCCTGTAACCCTGTCACCCACTTCTGATCACAAAGATAAGGTCAGCACATCTGCTCTTGTCATTTCTTGGCTAACTGTAAATACAATGTGACCATTCTGGTGTTTGCAGGAACTAGGAAAATCCTGGCTGGCTGTGGCCACGGTGATGAGTGCACAAAACATCTGTTGAATAAATAATCACCCAAGTGTTCTGTGACAGACATTTTCTGGGGAGATATGACACACATCTATTCACCCCAGATAGGGAGCTCGCAACAGACCACAGCACAGATACCACCTAAGTCCAACTTTGTGAACCATGAGTTTTATTGGGGTTACTTACAGGGGTGTGGGTGAGGGGCTTACTTATAGGAGCAGAAATGACCCAAAGACAGCTGCATCACCAATGCAAACCCATGCATGAGTGACAGCTTACATAAGCTGGGAATCTGGAGCACATTCTACAGCCTGCGGGCAGCTCAGCCAGTTACAGAGTGTCCTCTCCAAGTGATGGGGTTGGTATAAACCTCTTCCAGGCAGCTCAGCCGCCTTCTGCTTCTTGCAGGCAGCAGGTCTGGTCTCAGAGTCTTCTTTGCAGTTCAGCTTGTCTGAGGAGGACTCTCCCAAGCCTATGGTTTACTCTTGAGGAGGAGGAGCCAAGTGAATCTGGTCAGTTTCAGGGACTTCCAGAAGCTATTTTGAGCTGTTAACCTTCTGTCTTAAAGCCTTCCCAGCAGGAAGGAATGTTTCAATCTTGAAGAAACTGATACACAACACCAAGGTAAAGGGTATGGTAATAAAATACTATGGCTGAGAATTTTAAATGTTAAGATAATTAATATTGAAAATATCACCCATAGGGGCTGTTGAAATTGAATGAACTGATACATGAAGATGTAATGTTACATGTTTTTATTATTATACAGATATTACACATATCTAATCTTCCTGGACTCAGAACATGCCTCTGACCGCTGGTGTGCTGTGTGCCCTGGAGAAGTCTCTCTGACACTGTTTCCTACCATCTGTAATGTATGGCTCTGGGAATGTTACAAAAGGTTTTGTGCGTTTGTCGGTTGGTTGGTCTGGTTTGTTTTTGTTTTGTTTTGTATTTTCTTTCTTCTTCTTTGAGACAGGATCTCAAGTAACCCATGCTGACTTCAACCTTGTCATGTTGCCAAGGATGACCTTGTATTCCTGTTCCTCTTGCCTCTACCTCCTGAAAACAGGGATTAGATTATGGACATGTGCCAACACACCTGCCTTACAATCTCTGATGTTGTGAAGTCCAATTCAAATATCAATTTTTCACTATTTGGGTGATTGGTACACAGCAATTAATGGACAGATGATTCACGGGGTGCATGCTATTACTCCAGGAGTGATGATAACATGTTTGAAAATATATACCTTTTAGGACAGGCATCAACACGGGGCCAGGGCATATAGTTGTTGGAGGTATGACTCACACAAAAGTGCCCAGCTAGAACATTCCAGCCACATAGGCTGTCAGAATAAAATCTGTGGGAAACTGTATTGTAAACACCTGGAAACCACTCTGGCCGACAACTCTTCCCATGACTCCTAATGGGTAGTAAGCCCAGGAAATTCACATTCCCCAGTGGTTTTCCTAGTAACAACCTTGGACTGGGACTCAGCAGCTAGCTTGAAGGCCCAATTGTACTTTCTGACTGTGTGGTCACAGGCAAGTCATTTATCATTGCTTAGCTGGAAAAGAGGAACTATCAGCCACTCTGCAGGACGCTTAGGAGACTGAAGTTTGTATATGTAATGTATATGTAGACGGCAAAGTACTGGACAAATGCATGTGTTAGCATTCTTCCCAGACACCAAGGGAGATGTTACGATGTAGTAGCACACTCCCTCCTCCAGTAAACAGTAGAAGCAGAGGGAGAAAGAGGGAGACTCACACATACACTAGGGAATTCACGAGCTAGAATAGCTAGCTTTAACTCATATAGGCATGGCTAGGCCCAACATAGAGCTCTCATGGCCATGTCTGTGTCTGAAAAATAGAGCTGTGAGGCAAGCCAAAGGGATTATTTCCCCCTCAGAAAATCAAGTCAGTGAGAGGAAGCCCAGTGACAGCAAAGGCCTCACAAGGTGACCATGATGCGGTGGTTTGAAAGAAAATGGCCCCCAAAGGGAGTGGCACTATTAGGAGGTGTGGCTAGTTGGAGGAGGTCTGCCCTTGTTGGAGGAAGTGTGTCTCTGTGGCTTTGAGGTCTCATGTATGATCAAGCCACGCCCAATTAGACAGTCTACTTCCTGTTGCCTACAAGATGTAGGTGTTTCAGCTTCTTCTCCAGCACCATGTCTGCCTGCATGCTGCCATGTCCCAACATGATGATAATGAACTGATCCTCTGAACTGTAAGTGAGCCACTCCAATTAAATGTTTTCCCTTATAAGAGTTGCCGTGATCATGGTGGCTCTTCACAGCAATGGAAACCCTAACTAAGGCAGAAGTTGGTAGCAGGGACTGGAGTGTTGCTGTGATAGGCCTGACCATGCTTTTGTCTGGAGGACTACGGACTGTGGGACTGTGGATTAGAAAAGCAGTTAAGTGCTGCTTGATGGGCCACACCAGGAGGGGTGTGGGGCGGGGAAGACAGCGGTGCTTTGGTCTGATGCACTGGGGGGCTGACTGGCTCGAGAGGAGAAGAATAGTAATATGTGGCCTAGAGATCATTCTTGTGACATTTTTGTCAAGAATGTGACTGCCTTTCACCCTTGTCTGAAGAGTCTGCCTGAGGCTAAAGTGAAGAGTTTTGGATTCATTCTGTTGGCAGAGGAAATCTCAAACAGCCTAGTATCGACTCTGTCATGTGGTTATTAGTGGTAACTCTGATGAAAAGGAGCAAGCTGAGCAGGGTAAATTACAAAATGTAAAATTTGAGGAGAAAAGGAGCACCAGGAAGTGGAATGGAGCTAAGTCCTGTGTTCAAGGAGATAAACAGATTAAGAAATGGAATAAAGGGAGTGTGACCTCAGGGCAAGATCCTACCCAGCTAAATTTCCAACTTGTGAAAAGGAATTAGAGAAAAGCTTGGAGCTGGGTGTGGTGTGCATACCTTTAATTCCAGCACTGGAAGGCAGAAGAAGCTGGGGGGTCTCTGAGTTTGAGGTCAGCATAGTCTACAGAACAAGTTCAAGGACAGCCAAGCTTAGGCAGTGAAGGAAAACAGAAAGCTGTTGAAGATGTTATTGAATGAGGGGGTCATGTTCCAGCCCCAGTAAGCAGCAGAACTTGGCAGCTTTGGTCTCGTGGTTCTGGAGTTAACGGTAGAAGAAAGGGGCTATGGAATTTGCCTCTGAGTCTAAGGAAAGTAAGGCCAGGCATGTGTCAGAGGTGTCCCTAAATGGAGGCCCAGAGAGTCCATTGTGTGAAGCTGTGAATTGAAGCCTGAATTGCCTTGGAGACCTCAAGATGTTAGAGATGCCAGAGTCATGGGATACCTGCTGAGGAAAGATGCTAACAGGAAGTGCAACCAGCCCAAGAGAAAGAAGTCATCTACAGTCAACAAAACTGAAAAGAGTTGGAGATCTGAAGAGCATTTTGACATCAGACATGGAGCTCAGAGTTTGGGTTTGTCCCGCTGGTTTTCGGTCTTGCTTTGGTCCAGTATTTCCTCACTGTGCTCCCTTCCCTGTGTTTTGTAACAGTAATGTATATCCTGTGACATTATGTCTTGGAAGTATGTGATCTGATTTTTGATTTTGATTTTACAGGGGATTACAGTTAAGAGATTGCATGAATCTCAGAAAAGACTTTGAACTTTGGATTTTTAAACATTGTTGAGACTGTTAGACCGTGGGGATTTTTGAAGTTGGACTGAATGCATTTTACATTATGATATGGCTACAAGCCTTTGGATACCTGCAGAGGAAAGCTACTAACTGGGAGTGGAATGTAGTGGTTTTAAAGAAATGGCCCCCAAAGGGAGTGACACTATTTGAGGTGTGGCCTTGTTGGAGTAGGTATGGTCTTGTTGGAGGAAGTATGTCACTGTGGAGGTGGTTTTTGAGGTCTCATATATGCTCAAGCCACACCCAGTGAGATAGTCTACTTCCTATTGCCTGTAAGCTGTAGGACTCTCAGCTACTTCTTCTCCATCATGGTGTCTGCCTGCATGCCATGCATTATCATCATATTCCATGATAATAATGGACTGAACTTCCGAACTGTAAGTGAGCCACCACAATTTAATGTTTTCCTTCATAAGAGTTGCCACAGTATGGGGTTGGGGATTTAGCTCAGTGGTAGAGCGCTTGCCTGGCAAGCACAAGGCCCTGGGTTGGTCCTCAGCTGGGGTGGGGGGGAAGAGTTGCCACGGTCATGGTGTCTCTTCACAGCAATAGAAACCCTAACTAAGACACATGGGCAACTGAACAAGTGGCTGGAACTGTTTGCTCAGAAAATGGGGTTTCCAGGTGGCTACAGTGGGGTCTGTTTGTGCTGGCAGGTCGGGAGGTTTCTGTGCTATGGAACGCTGGAGCAACCCAAAGCAGGGCTGGAGATTCAGGGACCCACCTGGTTCCCCACATAGCCACAGAGCACCTTACAAACCATACAGTGCCCCTGGCTGTGCTGAAAGTGTTCTTTTTGTGAAATGGAGCTAAAAGGCAGCCTGGGACAAAGAAATTCCTCTGGCAGGTAGTTTATCCCATATCTAACCTACATCTCAAGCCCTATACTAGTTATCTAGCACAATATGCTACAACTCTATTTTTGTTTTTAATTGTGTGTGTGTGTGTGTGTGTGTGTGTGTGTGTGTGTGTGTGTGAGAGAGAGAGAGAGAGAGAGAGAGAGAGAGAGAGAGAGAGAGAGGTGCGGTGGGTATATGTGTGTGTGTGTGCAAGTGCTATCAGAAGCCGGTAGAGGGTGTCAGGCCTTTTGTGGCTGGAGTTACAGGGGGTTGGTGAGCTGTACAATGTGGGTGCTGGGAAACAAAGTTAGGTCTTCTACATGCTTTTAACTGCTGAACTGCCTTTCCAGCTCAATTTACTGTACAATCTTACATAGACCTAAATAGAAAGTAAAAATTTGAGGTAGTTGTCCTTCATTAGTTTATTCATTATCTATGTGAAAAACTCACTTGAGGCAGTATGAACAATACCAACACACTGGTAGAAAGCCTGGTGGTAGATATTAGAAATAAGTTCATGCAGAGAGAGACCAACCTCCCCACTGAAAGAGTCTCCACAAGGCAAAACTCTACTCCTCAGCAGGAGGGTTAGCTACTCACCAAAGCAGAGGTGCAGGCTCCCAGGCAGGATGTGTACTGGGAATCTTGCCCTTACACAGGTGGCAACTGCCTTTTCTGGGGGGCTGGGGTCTGACCTCACCCTTCTTTGAGGTTGGCTCACTTGAAAAGAACCAAAAGGACCTGCGCAAAGGAAAAGAAGGAAAGGAGGAGGGGTCAGCCACTTAAAATCCCTTATGTTCTAAAAATGCAGCAGGGCCTTTGTATAAAAGGTTTACATGGTGCGTGTGTGGAGGGGGGGCGTGGATAAAGAAAGACTTGAATTCTTTGTGGAAAACACACATCTTTCAGTGTTCAGCTGAAAAGCTGATATTTAATGTCGCTTATGCTCTGACTCAGTCCTCCCCACGAGGAAGGGTTCTGGGTTGAGAGGGTGCGAGCTTCTAAAGAGCTGCATTCCAAAGCAAAGGAGAACGAAGGGATATGAAGAACTGTCTGTGAAGTGAAGGCCTCCTCTTGTCCACTCTTGGTTTTTCTTCCATCATTTCTCCTCAGAGACATTGCTTCAGCCAAACTCTGCCTCTCGGCTGTCTCTGTCATTCTCATGTTTGACATAGCTCTCATTGGAGGCCACCTTCCCTTTTTCATCCTGGAAGACAGAACTCAACCTTTTCCTAACCCTTCCCTATAAAATCTAGGCACACAAATGTGGTGATATATTGTGTTCCCCAATAAAGCTTATCTGGGGATCAGAGGACAATGCCAGCCACTATATTAAACATAGAGGTCAGGCAGTAGTGGCACACATCTTTAAAAGACAGAAAAATTTGCCTACATGGTGCCTACTTACAATAATTCTCAGCCAGTTAAGAGATATCAATGGAGGGTTCTCCCACAAGGAATGTTGAATAGCCCAACCCTGTGCCAATATTTTGTACAACAGCCATTGGAAATAATATATAAACAATTTCCTAAATCTATAATTTATCATTACATGGACAATATTTTACTAGCTGATTCAAATACAGATACTTTAGAAAGAATGTTTAAAGAAGTAAAGAAAATTTTGCTTTATTGGGAATTACAAATTGCTCCTGAAAAGACACAAAGAGGAAATTCTGCTACAAGCTGCAAAAATATACAAAGTGGGATTTCAGCTGATTATGACAACACCAATATCTGGAAAAAGCCAAGGGCCTTCCAGAGGTCAAGCTGAGGCTCAAGGAGCCATGGTGATATTTGGCTTTTGATTATCAGCCGTTTCCTGCTATGAGTTTCTTGTGTGCTATTGTAGCTTTTCCATCATTGACTGGGCACCATTTCCCCTCTACTAAAGGAATATTTACATAACCTGCGCTGACAGTTATGCACAGCCAGAACCCCAGTTCAGGCCTCCCTGTAATTATCGTCATTGACAGCATCCAGCCAGGTCCGTCCCTAGATGGAGGAAAGTACCTTATCAGAGATACCTCTGTACTCTCTAAGCATAGTTTGGACAAAACCCTGGCAATAAGGGGTATGGCAGTTTTGTCCAAAGCTTAAATATTTTAAATGCTAGGGGGCTAAGTAATGAATTGATTATATGAAATTTAGCATACTTAGCATGTATATAAATATGACTTTATATATACATTAGAGAATTTGAACATTCATAAGATGATCAAGCTTTAATTTGTATCCTGATAATTATCTCTAATAGCTTATAGCTTAGGTACAACTTATCCTTAACAGTTTACAGTTCAGGTTGGCCAATCAATCACTAAGTTTTATTTCTTAATTATCTTTAATTAAGATACACTTGTTCTTAACAATTTATAAGTTAATTATCTTTATAAACTTAGAACTTAGGTTTTATACTTGTCAGGTTTAGCCTTAAAAATATTAAGTTTGTACTGAAGTTATTTTAATATAGAAACAGGAACTCTTATTCAAAAATACAATATATAAGGAGAGTGACAATTTAATAAATTCTTTATGGTGTATCATGAATTAAGATAAGCACAGTGAAAAAACCAAACTAAAACGGAGGAGAGGGGTTGGGGATTTAGCTCAGTGGTAGAGCGCTTGCCTAGCAAGCATAAGGCCCTGGGTTCAGTCCTCAGCTCCAGAAAAAAACAAAACAAAAACAAAAACAACAACAACAAAAAAGCGGAGGAGAAATTTTTTTTTTGGTAGCAGCTGCAGCCGGTTTGTCCAGTCTGTATCAAGCCAGACAGCCACTGAGAATGGCAAGGTGAGGGGAAAGGTGGAGACACAGGCTGAAATGAGCTGAGATGCAGATAGCAGACAGTTAGGTTCAGAGAGTAGAAGGCAGATGTTTAGGATTCCAACCCCCAAACGTTATTGGGGGTCTGATGAATCCATACAGGTTAGGGCGTCCCCTAACCAGGACCTGTTTTTTTTTTGCAATGGACTGACTGAGGTTCTTGTATTTGGCCAAGATTTTTGTAAATTACCAAGAACTTAATAGTCAATCCAGAAAGAGGAAAGAGAGAGAAAAAGACACTTTTTTTTTTTTTTTTGGAGAGCTGGGAGTTGCCATAAGTTTTTAAACTGGCTCTGGCTGTGAAGCTTGCATTGTTATTTAAATGAAGGTTGCTGGAGTGAGCTCCTAGTTAGCTGCAGGGCAATTTAGAAGTTTAGGGCTCAAGTTAGCCCTTAGATTCCTTAAATTAGTTTAAGCAAAAAAAGGCTGTTTGTAGCAGGATGCTGCTGTTACTATGGAGAACACAGAGAACTTCATTAGCTCTAGTTTATGCTCTCAGGAGGTCTTGTAGTGTGATAATATTGTGTTGCCTCCTTGTAAGTCCCCAAATGAAATAACAGCAGGTTTCTCCCTAAAAGGGAGGGGTTAGAATCTCTGCTGCTTATCATAGTCTGATAGTGAAACCATTCCATAAGGTTAGAGGCTTTGGGGGGGTCCCCTAAATCTTTACTTATGTTTTTTAGGAGTGTAAGGATTCTGTCCTTAATTACATCATCAGCCTGCTACGGCGTCCCAGCCTAAAAAGCAGGTGGGCCCTCTGTGCGTCCTCTTTCCTTTCCGCTCCTTCCTCTGGACCTCCTTCTTCTCTTTCCATGATCTCTCTCTCTCTCTCTCTCTCCCTCTCCCTCTCTCCCTCCATCCCAATAAAGCTCTAAAAAGGTAACCATGGCTGTGATTCTTCCAATCAGCACTCTCCTCCACCGGCATGGCTGCCACGGGTGGCAGCCAGCCACGAGGAGCAGCACCATTTAACCAACATTGGTGCCGTGACTCGGATAGACCACTGAGGACCTGCTGACTGCTGCCGCTTGCCACCTCCTCTCCCCTCCAGTGAGACCGCGAGACCATGAGCCCGCACATGCGCATGTCCCTTGCCTCCCCTGGACCCCTACACAGCTACCACTACTGCTACTGCCATGATTCTTCACAGGTGAGTCTGCAGTTCTCTCGGCTGTAGTCTGAGCTATATTCTTTGCGGTGGACACCCCGGCGGTTGTCCTTGGGCTATGCTGACATTGGCAGACACATTTTCGCTCCTGACGAGGGGGTCAATGCTGTCTCGGGTCTACCGGGTGGACCAACTGCAGAGCAGCCACAGCCCTTCCCATCCCTTGACGAAGAGGATGGCCAACTTGAGCTGATTCTTAGATCTCTCTTCACTCTCAGGGACGCCTGAGATTGGAGTCTGATCCCGGTTTGTTATTTTAGTTTTTTATTTTTCTCTCGGCTACAGCCATGAGATAAAGGGGCGGATACATTTACCACCTACATTGGCAGATAGGGGTGGGCACCGGTAAACCTGGCCACATAAGAGCGTAAACCTGGCTGAATAACAGAGTTGCGGGAACTTCTGCCAGCAAACGGGCAAATAAGAGTTACTTTATCCCCAAGCTTTCTGCTAAAATTCTAAACCCTTCTCCTTCCCCACTTCTGCGTCTGCCACGAGCAACCTTTTCTGTCTGACTTCCACCGGCAGTGGGCGGGCTCAAATGGGGAGACTTGGGCAGTTTCTACAACTCGCCCTAACTCACCTTAACTCCACCCACTCATTACAAGCTTTTCTCTTCCCAGTTCCCTGTTATAACTCACTGTTCAGCTAATGGTACAGGACCACCACAGAACCGGAGTCCAGAGACATTTTGTCAAACAGAAAGTTCCCAGTCACAGCCAAGAGGGATACAAGTCTCCAGAGCAAACAGATGACAGACAGCATTCCACAACGCCTGTTTACCTCGGAAAACTCCCCTTCTCCATTCCCCCAGAGCCAACCAACGTCCAAAAGTCAGCTGGAATAAGTTTTTGAGAGGAACGACGCCCCTAGTCCCATCTACCTGCTTTTTTATAATAAGTGAAAGTCTGGGATGTAAGGATTTGGTTCTTAATTACGTCATCGGCCTACTACGGCATCCCAGCCTAAAAAGCAGGTGGGCCCTCTGTGCGTCCCTCTCTTTCCTTTCAGCTCCTTCCTTCCTTCTGGACCTCCTTCTTCTCTTTCCATGCTCTCTCTCCCTCTCTCCCTCTCTCCCTCTCCCCCCCGCCCCGTCCCAATAAAGCTCTAAAAAGGTAACCATGGCTGTGATTCTTCCAATCAGGACTCTCCTCCGCCGGCATGGCTGCCGCAGGTGGCGGCCAGCCACGAGGAGCAGCACCATTTAACCAACAAGGAGGCCTTATGGGGTTCAGATAGTCTGTTGCTTCCTTATCTAATCCTGTAAACAGACTGGAACTGATTGAAATGCCTTTTGCCTTAAGCCTGTGTCCTGTAACTTCTATCAAAAGCTGATTCTCTTTAGACTCGTACTCACTCTGGTGCAAGAAAGATTCTTAATAGGAAGGGGGTGTTCAACTACTCACCACAAAGAGGCCTGGGGTTCCTCCCGGTCTGCAGCACCTGTGGTGAGGTCCATCAGTAGCCGGCACTTCAGGGGTCATTTTTACGACTTCCCAGAGAGACTGCCTCTTCTCTGGACAGCCTCCGCCAAACAACACCCCTGATTTTTGAGTATGCTTGGTTGATTACTCTCCTGAGACTGGGTACCCAAGGGCGCCAGGTCTTGTATAATATTAGAGGGACCAGCCTTAACACTATATATCCCAGGGGCTCAGGAGAGAGAACTATGAATGATGAGAACTATTTTCAGGAAACAGAATCTCAGCACACAGAGCTCTTATGTAGCGATAACGCCCGCGCTACCACCACCCGTTCACCATGTCCGAGCGAGGGGCTGTGGATCGAAAAACAGAGACAAAAGACAGCGGGTCATTCACCTCAGCAGAATACCGAATGCCGTTTATTGAAAGAGGGAGGAAACCTTAAATACAGGCTTAAAGCACGATGGGAGAACCCCCGAGGGCAGAAGTTCGCTATTGATGTTTTACAATCTTGCATCTAAGCTGTTAACGCCCAATATGCAGGATACACAAACAAGGAACTTCCCTAAAGCATTCAGGAGGGTGGATACCGGCAGGGAATTAGCATAGGGAGGACATCTGGTCAAAGTTGGCAAGCAGGCAATGGCTTTACTCAATATGGGAGGAGACCAGGGCCCTACAGGTCCCCCCTTTTTACTAAAAAATGAGCTTCTGACTTAGGTTGCATGGGACATCAGCAGGTCACCTTACCCATCATGGAGACACCTGCCCAGGCCACACAAGTGCTCTGTCTTAGGTTGGTGAGCACCCCCCCAAGCATTACCTGTCTCTGAATACTCATTATCATACAGGCTCAACCACGTGAGCTGTAGAGTTAACTGTTGCCAAAGATCTCAAAGTGGCGCTGGGCTTGCAATCTGTGCGACACAGAAAAGACCAACAGAAGTCCTAACCCACCCATAGGCAGTAGCCTAAAGGCTATTGAGCCATTCCCTTCCTTCAAGCCTTATGCAAATTGGAGTCCTCGTAAGATGGTATCCCAAAAGCAAATGGAACTTGAGTTTTAAATTTTACAACTTACAAAGCCAATCAAAATGTATATAACTATTGAGTTAAATTTATCATGCCCAATAGAATGAAAGATTAACTAACTGTGGTAGCTACTTTTGCTGCCAGGGTCTCCACTGTGCTAGCTGTAGTAACCAATTATGAAATAGCAATCCCAGAAACAGTAGCAGCAGTGGCCACCACCGCTATGACAGCAACAATGGCAACAGGGATGTCAGATTCTCTTCTGGAGCGTGTGGGCATCCACTGGCATGGACACAACTCCAGGAACACGAACCACCAAGGCCCATTTTTCTTGATCCCAGCATGACTTAAGCTGGCAGCTCTGCAAAAGAACAACTAAGAACCATAAAGGAAAAACAAACAGCACACAAGGAGCAGACCTAATGGTCTCAATAATGACTACATTCAGGCTCACAAATTTTAAGGTATCTTCAAAAGAGGCTAGATGAATTTCAGGAGGCCAATAGATGTTGCACAGAGCCACTCCTGAAAAGTAGGGTACTACACCAGCTTGAAGAGGGTTGCAAAATGTGAAAAGGCTTAGCTGGCATGCTACTGTTAACAAATAGAGGTCAGTGAACTTCATGGTTGTCCTTAAACTCCAAGGTGTCTGAGTGACACGTTCTTAAACATGCTTGAAAGAGCAGTTACCATACATTACCTTCTGGAGAATCCAACTGCATGGCTACAGTTCCTAGGCTTACGTTAATGCTTGCCAAGGCTGGCCATATTGGGTTCTCAATCCCCATTGGCATCAGAAGGGGAGAGTTCTTCACAAAGGCCCAATAGGTCTCTGCCATGTTGGGATTCAGCAGCAACCACAGGGTGCACGCAGCGCTCAGGAACCCAAAGAGGAACCTCATTGTCCTGCGGGAAGACACAAACAGATCCCTGGGCCTACACCAACACCATATCGGGTCCCCTCCAAGTGCCAGTAGAAAGATCCTTCCATCGCACCAGAGGATGATTTGCAACAGGAGCCCTCCAGTGCTTATCTGCAGTGGATACTCCAGTAGAGTCCACTGATAAAAAATTTAAAGTATATAAAACAAGGGAAAGAATAGAATATGGAGAGGAGAGATGAGCCCCTAGCTCCCCACTTTTTACTTTAGCAATATATGTTTTTAAGGTATGATGGCAGCGTTCTATTATAGCCTGTCCTTGAGGATTATAAGGAATACCAGTCTTATTAACGATAGAACAATCTTGGCAGAATTTTGAAAATCCCGTACTGCTGTAGGCAGGACCATTATCAGTTTTTATGCATTTTGGCACTCCCATGTAAGCAAAAGCATGAAGACAATGATTCTTTACATCTTTAACCTTTTCCCCTGAATGGACAGAAGCAAAAATTAGAGAGGAATGTAGCTAGAGTTTTCCTGCCTGGCCCACAGTCAGGGCAAATCTCTCTCACCTGCCAGTCCCACAGCCACTCAGACCCAACCAAGTAAACACAGAGACTTATATTGGTTACAAACTGTATGGCTGTGGCAGGCTTCTTGCTAACTGTTCTTACAGCTTAAATTAATCCATTTCCACAAATCTGTACCTTGCCACGTGGCTTGTGGCTTACCGGCATCTTCACATGCTGTTTGTCATCGTGGCGGCTGGCAGTATCTCTGACTCAGCCTTCCACTTCCCAGCTTTATTCTCCTCCTTGTCCCGTCTACACTTCCTGCCTAGCCAATGGCCAATCAGTGTTTTATTTATTGACCAATCAGCAACACATTTGCCATACAGAACATCCCACAGCAGAGGAATATGTATCAATAGACACATGGACATATTGTAATTTTCCAAAGAAAGGCACATGTGTGACGTCCATTTGCCACACATGATTAGGTAAAAGTCCTCGGGGATTAACTCCCAAATGAGGAACAGGTAAGAATTCAGCACAAATAGGACATGATTTAACTATCTGGATGGCTTGTTCCCGGGTTATGCCTGTATGATGACGAAGAGATCCAGCATTAAGATGATAACGTTGAAGCAACTGAGTAGCCTTATCAAAGGCAGAACAAACTAATGTGACAGCCATACGAGTAATGGCGTCAGCCCTCTGATTACCTTCACTTAGAGGTCCAGGCAATTGAGTGTGAGCTCTAATATGGCCCACATAAGGGTTATGTGAGCAGGACCATATAAGTCCTTGCATTTGCAATAAATATTCATGAATGGGAGAAATGGATGGTATGTAGGCTGTTGTCTCCAAAGGCATAATGGCATGTGCTACATATTGGCTATCAGTATAAATATTTACACTCTCATCAGAAAACATCTGTAAAGCAAGCAACAGTGCCTGTACCTCTGCCATCTGGGCAGAAGTGCCCTGGGCTTTCATTCTCTTCACTATGTTACCAGAAACCACCACAGCAAAACCACGTGAAGTGCCATCAGTAAATACCACATGGACCTGAGGAATAGGAGTCATCTGTACTATCTTGGGAAATATAACAGGATGCAATTTAAATAATTGACACACATCATTGGAGGGGTAGTGAGTATCAAACTGACCCTACATGGAGCATGTCAATATGGCCCAATCATTATCATTAGCTTGCAACCATGCTATTTGAGACTGGGTGTATGGGGTCACCACAATATCTGGCTCCTTACCAAAAGTTTGAACACTGATCTTGATTCCCTTAAATATAATCTGAGCAACAGCCTGTGGGTAAGGATTAATGGTTTTTGCTGGAGAAACTGGGGAATGTACCCATAGAATAGGACCTGTTTGCCAAAACACTCCAGTAGGTGAATGAGTAAAACAAAATATCAAATACAATAAGGGAGAAGAAAGATCTATATACTGCATGTGTGCCTGTTCCAGTGCCTCTTGCACTCATTGTAGGGCTGTACACCCTTCAGCTGTTAATTCATGGGGAGATAAAGGTTCAGGGTCGCCCTTTAAGACATCATACAAAGGGTGAAGTTGACCTGTTGGAATCTTTAAAGTGGACCAAAGCCATTGAATATCTCCCAGAAAGGTTTGGAAATTATTAAGCGTGCGTAGCTGATCCGTACACCGAGTAATCTTTTGTGGACGTATGCCTGTGCGTAACAATTCATGACCTAAATAATGATAGGGAAAAGATACCTGTACCTTTTCTGGAACTATTTGTAAATTAGCCAGGCTAAGAACCTCTTGTAATTTAGAAAAGGCATCAAAAACAAGTTTTTTATCTTTAGCAGCCAATAAAATATCATCCATATAAGTCAACCACAATTAAATGCCAATGTTTAGGAATTGCCATGGGGCAGGCAAACCAGGCTGTGTTGCTCCCATGAGAAGCATGGTTTTATTTACAGCTCTAAGATCTTGTAACAGTCTCCATTTTCCTGACTTCTTGTAGAGGCCAGTTGGGATCTCAGGATTCTTGTCCAGCACCAGAATCCAGTAATCTTTTAATCTCAATCCTATATAATTTTATTTTTAATTTAGGCTGTTTATCATTGATAACTGTTTGCCAAAACACCTTTTTCCTGTACTTTCAAAGCCTCCAGTTCTACATATAGGTGCCATTTTGCAATTTAAATATGAAAACAATAATAATCGAGCGATTTTATCACCAGCTTCTATTTTCATGGTCCTTTTTACATATACCAATTATAAAAGCATTAAATACAATCTTTATAGGATTTGAAGAGGATACTCTTGAGTATTTTTATAAAATCTTAAAAATAGGATCCTTTTTTATAGATTTCAAATAACACATTAATGCAAATAACCAATTATTAACAATGTGGACCAAACAATTTACCTGTATTTTATTTACTGGAAAAATAATTTTGTAACCTCTTTATCAGTAAGAGATTATTTTTTATGGGTTTATCTTAGCAACAACATTATTTAATAAGCTAACAACCCAATCCATTTCAGGTGTTATATTTCTAGAATTCTAGAAAGCAACTTAAAGAGCAGAGCCAAATTATCAGTAATGATCAACAGACAAGAGCATACCTAATATATAGTTCACAATTATGAATTCTGTTCCTTAGTTTATCTACCATGAGAATCCAAACATTTATTAAGACAATCAAAAGAACAGAACATCCTTTATACAATGAATGATTAATATCCCTGGAAATTCAACAGCATTGACTTAGCAATCCATGTCGGACCGAAACCATTTTTCACCAGAAGTTGGGCCCGTTTAAACTTTTAGTGCTAGTCCCTCTCCTGGCCTCTGCTCGCTTGCCCTCCCGCAAGTCTGTTCCCTTCATCGGTCTTGTGGCTATGACACCCGCCTGCGTGTACCTGCCCACCTGCTGCTCCAGGCTATCTTGCACACACCTTTGCTGCCATGCTGGACACGTGCACTCACTTTTAAACTTTCTTTTACTTCCCATGAAAGGACTACCTAATAATAAGTTATTCCCACCATAAGGGAAAAAACAAAAACATTTCCCACGAAGGGATCCTAAATATTGAATTATTCCCACTGAGGGAAAAAAATGAACATTTTTTTAAACCAAAATTAAGCAAACAGACAATGAAACTTTAAGCTCTGGGTTTGCTTGCTTGTTCATCCAGCAGCAATGAGGCCCACCTGTTGATTTTTTGTAATTCAGATGCTGCTGTTCTGTGCTGGCAGGCAGAAAGAGCTCAGAGTTTTAGCTATCCTGAAAATTCTATAATTGGAAAGAGCCTTTTCTTCCTCCATTACCACTGGGAAAAGGCTTCTCTCTTTCCTTCATCCTTCCTCTACAGGGCCCTAATCTTTAGGCCTAGTTTCAAAATTTTTCCCCTTTTTACTGGGAAAATCCTTTTTTCTTGATTAAATTTTTTTTCCCTTTTCTAATGGGAAATTTCCTTTCCTTCCCTCTTCTCTATTGGGAAGATTTCCTTTTTATTTAAAATCTTTAGCTGTCTTGCCCTATCTTAACTTCGGTGCTCTCCTGCTTCAGCAGTCCAATTAACTGACTGTGAGCTGGCTGCACCTGTTTCAATTCACCCTCATCTTTTCTTTTTTCTTTAAATTGCTGGCCAGCCTCACCTGGGTGTCCATCAGCGATGTCCCTTCCTTCTCAGATCTCGGTGGAACCTCCATTTGTAGCGATAACGCCTGCGCTACCACCAACCGTTCACCATGTCTCTTAGTCCAGTCATTGATTCTTCCAAATCTTCTTCATCCTGTCCCCTGGGAGTTGTGGTATATATGCACTTACAAGCAGTAATCCCTTGGCAGTGTAAAGCCGGGCTTCCAGGGTCAAATGGAGGGGTGATAAGAATCACATAGAGAGGCAATAACCATTAATTATCATTTGCAACCCAAGAGGGAAGTGACTAATGAGGAAATGAATTAACTAAAGGATAAATTTGGGTAATATCTAAGAAGAGGGATCTTATGTGCTCAACTATAATCTTAAACGTGACTGGTAGAAAATGTTAAGGTCAATGGGAGAAAATAAAACTGCCTTCTTTTTTCCTGTGGCTCCTATCTGTCCAAGCTATCTGCAGGGTGGGAGAAAGTGTGCTCTGGTCTCTAGGCAACCTGTGTACAGCTAGATGCCTCTGGTGACAGTTAAATGGATATCTGTAACTAGAGGTAAGAGTTGGGAAAGGAGGAAGCTAAACTTAATTGGCATATCCACCAGGCCTTCTCAAATGGGTAGTCTGGATGCTTAAGTCTGTTCTTAGAGAGTACAGACGTATCTCTGATAAGGTACTTTCCTCCATCTAGGGATAGTCCTGGCTGGATGCTGCCAATGAAAATAATTACAGGGAGGCCTGACCTGGGGTTCTGGCTGTGCATAGCTGTCAGTGCAGAAAAGCTACAATAGCACACAAGAAACTCATAGCAGTAAACGGCTGATAATCAAAAGCCAAATATCACCAAGGCTCCTTGAGCCTCACTCAGTTTGACCTCTGGAAGGTCCTTGGTGTCTTCCAGGTATTAGCTTTGTCATAATCAGCTGAAATCCTACTTTGTATATTTTTGCAGCTTGTAACAAGATTCTATTAATTATTTAGGGTATAAAATAGGTCTACAAAAAAATTAGACCCCACCCCCCCAAAAAAGGGTGCAAATTAGGAGAGATCAATTATGGACTCTTAATGACTTTCAAAGATTATTCAGAGACATTTCCCATCTACGAACTGTTGTTGGGGTAAAAAATGATGAACTGAGTAATTTGTTCAAAACCTTACAAGGTGACAAGGACTTAAATAGTCCAAGATAATTATCAGTTGAAGCTGAGAGAGAATCAGCCTTGGTGGAAAAGAAAGTACATGAAGGACATATGGATCCTGTGGATCCAAAGCTTAACTACATTTTGGTTATTTTACCCTCAAAGCATTCTCCTACAGGAATTTTAATGCAAAGGGAAGATATTATATTGGAATGGATATTTTTACCAAATAAACAGAGTAAAAATTAAAAACTTATGTGGAAAAAATCTCTGACTTGATTTTAAAAGGAAAATTGAGACTTTGCCAATTAGCAGGAAGAGACACAGCAGAAATTGTAGTATCTTTAACTAAGGAGGACATCGGTAAATTATGGCAGAAAGTGAACCTTGCCAAAGAGCTTGCAGTAATTTTTTGGGAGAGATCAACAGCAAATATCCCAAAAGTGATAGAATTCAACTTATAAAGAGAGCTGATTGGATTCTGCCTCACATTGTTTGGGAAACACCCATATCTGAAGCCTGAACATTTTATACAGATGCAAACAAACAAGGAAAGGCAGGTTACAAGTCAGAAAATTTAAGTAAAGTGGTTTAAAGTCCTTATAATTTGGTTCAAAAATCGGAATTGTATGCTATTCTGTTGGTATTAATGGATTTGATGCTGAAAGGGTGGTCTTACATATTGAGACTGTAGAATTTATTCCTGATGAGTCAGAATTAACTTTGTTATTTATTCAGTTACAAGATATAATCAGGTATAGGAAGCATCCTTTATATATAAAACTCACATCTGATCCCATACAGGTCTGCCAGGCCCTCTAGCACAAGGTAATGATGAGATCGATAAAGTATTGATAGGAAATGTCCTGGAGGCCTCAGAATTTCATAGATAACATCATGTCAATAGTAAAGGTTTAAAAAAAGATTTTTCCATAACCTGGCAACAAGCCAAGGAAATTGTAAGGAAATGTCCTACTTGTTCTTTTTACAATCAGACTCCATTACTGGCAGGATGTAACCCAAAGGGTACTCAGAGGAATGAAATCTGGCAGATGGATGTGTTTCACTTCGCAGAATTTGGAAAACTGAAATATGTACACCACACTATTGATACTTATTCAGAATTTCAATGGGCAACTGCTTTGAGTTCTGAAAAAAGCTGATTCTGTAACCATGCATTTGCTAGAAGTTATGGCCATCATGAGTATACCTACACAAATCAAAACTGACAATGCTCCAGCATATGTCTCTGGTGAAATGAAACAGTTTTTTGTTTATTAGAATATAAAGCATATTATAGGTATACCACATAATTCTACATGCCAAGCAGTTATAGAAAGAGCAAACAGAACTCTAAAGGATATGCTAAATGAACAGAAAGGGGTAACAAAAACCCCCCAGAAATAGATTGTATAATGCTCTATTAACTTTGAATTTTCTCAATGCTAATGAGAAAGGAACAATAGCTGTGAAGAGACATTGGATAATAAAAAAAAAAAACTACAGAATTAAATCAGCCTATATATACTTTAAAGATGTGCTGACCTCAGAATGGAAACCAGGATATGTGTTACGTTGGGGATGAGGTTTTGCTTTTGTTTCTACAGGAGAAGATAAGCTGTGGATACCATCAAAATCGATAAAGGTTTGATTTGAACAAGAGAGACCTCTTAATTAGAAAAGGTGATACTTTATCAACCAGCATGACCATCCAAATTAAACTAACTTATACCACTAACAAATGCTTTTCATTTAATCATATATAACTTGCCAAAAGGGAACCTCCCCAAAGTTAGGCTTGGGGGAGAGTTTTTGTTTTTGTCTTTCAGGAGAATAAAGACTAAGGAATCTAAAGAACACTGGACAAATGAGACATCTCAAGAAAAAGGACAAATCATGTAGAAAAAAATGTCCCAAGAGAAAGAGTAAATTGGCCTATTGGTATATCACATATAAAATTTCATAAATCTTCCTAAATGTTTATTTCTGCTCTTCTCTAAAAATACTTAACACAAAGTTCTTTCTGTAGTCACAGTTCAATTAAAAATTAAAGCTGGCTTTGGAGTTGGAGAATGGCTCTCTTTTTCTCTAAACCCAAGCATTTTGTTAAAAGGAAAATGCAAAATCTCTGTATCATGTCACAAGAAAGAGTCATCTGATATGGGACAGAAGAAAACCAAAAAAATTAAGAGAATATTCTATTGCCACTAATCTCAATTCTTTGGTTCTATTTTGATTCTTTAAACTTTTCATAAGGTATGAATTTCATATCAAAATTTATCAGATTTATATATATATATATTTATATATATTTTAAACTTTTGTTATGATATTAATGGATCTTATAGAGTACTAACTAATTCTAGAAAAAAGGCTTCATTTAGCTGCCTATACATGGCTTTGTGTTGGAGTCTCTATCAGTTTTCTGCAGGGAATCATGACCAGGCCTAACAGCAAATTTGAAGTCTCTAGAAAGATGATGGGGCCTCACAATGATGATTTCATGAGGACAATAATAATATCACTAAGCTGACAAACATCACCCAAAGATAGCTTTGAACTACAAACTGCTCAGAACAATTATGAGATGGCTAGCTGAGATGATCTAGCCTCACAGACTATTTAAACAAGGAACTGAGATAATCCTTGCACTTTTGCATTATGCAGAGACTGGACAACAAATGATTCAGCTACCTCTCCCGGAACTTGACAATTAACCCAAAACTTTTCTTTTCAGGATCCCCTAAAGATGCCTTCACCCACAAACAGCAGGAAGTAATCTTAAGAACACGACACCCATATTCCCAAGAGGTGGGGCAGGTGGTTTTTGGTCTTTCAATGGGATTTGGGTTTGGGATAATTTTCATTGTTTGGTATGGTTGGTTACAAGTTGTTATTGTTAATGGTCAGGAAAAAGGGCTAAACAAAGGAGATTAGATATAAGGTTCTTGTTTGAAAGAAAAAAGAGGATATAGAGAAGAGGTAGATTACTGAGTCTACTCTGAAAAAAAAAGAGAGATAGAAATGATAGAATAAAGGGTAGATTATTGAATGTACTCTGAAAAGAAAAAAGAGAGGATATAGATATGATATAGATAAAAAGGTAGATTATTGAATCTACTTTTAAAAGACAACTACTAGTTTTAAATACTTTACATTGGATTGGATTTTTATAAATTGTATACAAATTATATATATTTAGATTGATATTGTTAAAAAATTCTGTACATATATTTCTAATCTTGTTCAAGATATTGTGCCTATACAGTTCATTTAACAATGTAATGCAATTTGCTAATCCTTGAATGTTATTATTACCAACTATTAGGATATAAAGATATGAAAGTTAGTAGTTAGACATTACAATCGAACTTGTAGTCATATTAGGTATGTTTTTAAGGTCAAGCAGAGACATATTTTAGATAGACAGGTAATCTTCAAATCCTTCAGAGATCTACAGATTATGGCATTTAAAATGATTTAATAACATAGATTTTTTTTTCTTTTTTTATGACTATGAGACATGTCTGTTCCTGGCTGCACCAATCTACTTCAGAAAAGATATGGGCATTGAAGAAACTGCATATGGAGCTAACTTTCATTGTGGCAAAAGTTAGCCACTGAACAGCAAAGTGCCCTCGCATTGACTGTGGACAGTATGCTATCCAAAATGGACAAACAGGACACAAAACAAAGGACTACCAATCCTTTGCCAAAAAAAGTGTGGTTGTGGCTTTAGCAACAGGTGTCCTCTGAGGCCAGGACAATATGGCACCATCGCTGAAGTGGCTTTGCATTCCGGAAAAAGTACAGTGCCCCTTTCTTTGAAGGCAGCTAAACTGGCAGTGGACTGATGGCTTCTGGTGTGCAGTGGAACAGTAGCTGAAACAGTTATTCTTGAAAAAGTAACTAGGCTGATGGGAGTCTACCTCTCAATGGTAGATTGGCATTTAACAAAGGAGATGAAGCCACCCACAAGCCGAGAAGAATAGGCAGACGAATTCCAAAAACACCAGCAATTTCCAGGATTTAAAATCCTCAATCATAACTGGTGGAATTCAAGTTTATCTGGTATATGGAATACTTGGACTGAACGTGAGTTCAAACTGTAGGCCTTGTGTACATCTTAATTCATAAATGAGTCTGTAGGCTGAAGGTGATACCCCAACATGCAGAGAAACCTCGGGTCACTGTCCAGGCAGCAGGCTGTTTCCGTCATAACTCATTTTTTAGAAGTCGCTTGTTTGCACTCCTTTTTTAACTAGGTAATATTATTTCCTTCTCGGGTCTCTGAGGGAGTTGAAGATTAGATAGTTATAGTTACGGTTTTCCTTGTTAAGAAATTCAGAAAAAAAATTCACTAAGAGGTATTAAGTGTATAAGTTTGAAAGACATCATAAGATAGTTTTCTGTTGGTAATATAAGTTAGGATAGAAACTGAATTAGGTACGCTTTGGACTCATCAAAATAGGATAGATAATGGAATATTTTCTCTGAATTTGTCAAATGCAAATGGACTAGACATTGTTGATGTATTTATTGCTTGTACATATTGTATATAGTTATTGTACTTATTGTATATAGTTTTTCTTATATTACTTATAACTTTTTAAATTTTTTTATTTTTTAGTAGACAAAAAAGGGGGAAATTTGGTGATATTTTATTTGTGCTGAAATGTGGTGATATTTTATTTGTGCTTTAATAAATAAAGCTTGCCTGAGATCAGGGGGAAAAGGCCAGCCATTTGAAGTAAACAAAGTCAGGCAGCACACGCCCTTAATCCTATCACTTAGCAGGCAGGGTCTCTGTGTGTTCAAGGCCACACTAGGGAACAGAGTCACAAGTGGTGACACACGCTTTTAATCCCAGTACCAATCATAGAGACCTGGAGGTCTGTACAGACAGACAGACAGTGACAGAGCTGTGTAGGAAGAGAAAGTGAGGTAGTTGGGCTAAGAGCCAATGAGAGAGCAGAAAAGCAAGGTATATAAGCCTGGGTAGACAAGAAGACACTCTCCTTGGAAGCTGCGGAGTTGGTGAGGTAAGGTTGGCTGGTGGCTTTCCATATTTCCCTGATCTCTCTAAGGCTTTCGCCCAAATTTCTGGCTCCGTGTTTTATTTAATAAGACCATTTAGAAATTCGTCTACACACGTCTACACACGTGACTTTCTGGTGAGGCAGTATAGCTGAGACAGTGAATTCCAGGTTTAGTGGGAGACCCCACCTAGAAAATAAGATGGAGGGGCCTGGGGAGAAGACTCAGAAGTTAACAACAGGTGCTGCTCTTGGGGATCTGATGCGCTCTTCTGACCTCTGGGTACACACACACACACACACACACACACACACACACACACAGAGCATTCACTCATTAGGCCACACACAGACATAGACATATAATGAAAAATAAAAACAAGTCTTTAGAAAATAAAATTTAAAACTATGTGAAGTTATAGAGGAAGATGCCTAACACCAGCCACTGGCCTCCACATGTGCATGCACAACACATGTACACACATACATATACACAAACACACACAAATAAATAGCCATGTTGTGGGAGGATATACCAGGCCTATAAGTCCTAACCCTCGCTGCTCACCAGAACCAGCTGCAGTCAGTGTAAAAAACACAGATTCTACCCACATCAGCAGACTCATGTCGCAGGGCTGGGCCCTGGAATACCTGGTCCATTTCAAGTTTTTAGTGGCAGCTGCCAAGGCTGCTCTTGGGAATATCCAGACCCCATGAAGCCACAGGGTGGACAACGGATGCACTGCCAGGTTCCAGTCCCCATAGAATGCCTAGCACATGGCACAGCAATGAGTAGTTGCGAACTCATCTTGTAAGTCATTACTATATCTGAGGACACCTTCAGCTGCCCAGGCCTATCATGGAGCCAAGAGGAACTGTACATAACCCTGAGAATCCTCAACAGTCTCCGAGGGCCTCTCGACATGAGAGGTGGGTCTACCGAGGCAGCATGTCACAGCCATGTGTTATTGGGCAGCTTAACTCCCGAGCCTCAGATTCTTCTGTGGACTGGGCCGTGGGGTTAAATGACCACCAGGTTCCATGGGTCCTGACCCTTCCTGAACTGCTACCACTTACTGTGTGATTTTAGCCAGATGACTTATAGGCACTTTTTGTTGAGGTATCTGTAGCCTCACCTCTCTGTCTCTCATCACAGGACTGGCAGCCCTGGGGCAGGGGAGCAGAAACACTGAATGAAGACTTACACTCAAAGCCAAAACCAACAGAAATGGCAAATAAAACAGAAGGAAGCAAAATAAAAACCCAATGAGAAAATAGTTTAGACAGATCTCTTGAGTTCAAGGTCAGCCTGGTCTACAGAGTAAGTCCCAGGACTGTCAGGGCTACACAGAGAAACCCTGTCTTGAAAAACAAAAGACAAAAAACAAAAAACAAACAAAAAAAAATGAAAACAATAGTTAACGAAGCCTGTTTAGTTAATTAAAAATTGTGCATCTCAATATGAATTCAATAAAGAGAGTGAGAGTAATAAAATCAAACAATGATTTTTCCTTTTTTGAAACAACAAATTCATTGAGCTGTGGTTCATACACCACACAATCAACCCCTTGAAGTGCATTGCTGAATGACTTATGGTACTTCCAGTTTACAGCACACTCCTTTGTCATCACCATCCAGTTCCAAGGTCTCTCTGTGGAGCTCTGGCTGCCTACAACTTGCTGTATAGATCAGTCTGTCCTTGAACTCACAGAGGCCAGCCTCTCTCTGTCCTTCAAATGCTGGGATTAAAGATGTGTGCCACCACACTTGATCTAATTCTGGAATGTTTTTGCTGTGGCTTGGATAAGCATCCTCTAAAGTGGGTCTTCAACCCCTGGTAGGTCAGGAGATGGTGTACAAAAAGTGAGACCTGGAGTATGGCCATTCCATTCTGAACAAGCCCGACCTCATCTGAGAGTGAGATCTAGCAGAACGAAAATAGATCACTGGAGGCAAGTCCTTGGTCCTGTTTTTCCTCTCTGCTTCCCTCACCATGAGTTCTGCCCACCCACCCACTCCCCAACCCCACTCCATTCTGCAGCCACAAGGAATGATCCACCAGCCCAGGGAATACCAACTGTGGACCTTTGCTTCTGAAGCCAGGAACCAAAATAAACTCCCCCCTCCTTTCAAGTTGATCCTCTCAGTTATTTTAGTGACAGGAAGCTGGCTAACATGCTCCTCACTCCCCTGAATAGCTACATGCTTATTAACAGCTAGACTTCTTCACCCTGAAGCCACTAATCCAATCTCTAGCATGAGGAATTTTTGATGCAATCATACAATATTCTGCCTTTTGTGTCTGTTTCACTTACGTTTTCAAGGCTTGCTCATGTTGTAGTGTGTGTGTGTGTGTGTGTGTGTGTGTGTGTGTGTGTGTGTGTGTATGTGTGTATACATTATATACATGTATATATATGTATATATATAGTTGCTTAATTTTTAATGGCAAATAATATTCCATTGTGAGTGTATGCCACATTTATTTATTCAGTTCTCAGTTGATAGATATGTGGGTTTCTTCCACTTTTTTCTTTATTATTTACTTGTTGAGATACTTTGCTCTAATTGGCCTTGAACTCCCATGCTGAAGCAGTCCTCCTGTCTCAGTCTCTTGGGCAGCTGGCACTATAGGCATGAGCCACTACAGCTGCTTCTGAACACTGACTAGGAGCACGTGAGTGCTGGTTTCCTATGTGACTGTAGGTTAAACACTCTTGCTTGTAGAACCTTGGGTGATCTTATGGTAACTACGATTGTAGTTCTGAGGAGCTGTCTAAACTTTCAGTTGGAAAACCAATCTCTCTCTCTCTCTCTCTCTCTCTCTCTCTCTCTCTCTCTCTCTCTCCTTCCTTCCCCCTCCCCTTTTTCTTCTCCCTCCACCCTCCTCTTGCTTAGCTTTTTTCTTTTATTTTTGGGTATGAGATCTCAAACCCAGGGCCTCCTACATGCTCTACCAAGCACTCTACCACTGTGACTCAACCTTTATGCCCTGCCCTTTTGATTTTAGTCATCCTGGTAGACAAAAATAGTATCCTATTGGGGAGGTAATTTGTATGAATTTCATTATCAATAATGTTGACCATCTCTCATGAGCTTATTGGCCATTTGCACATGTTCTTTCCAGAAGTGTCTATTCATATCCTTTGCCTGTTTTTAAATGCAGTGTCTCAACCCTATTTAGCCATGCAGTGTGTAGGTTTTCCAGCATGGGAGGCCTGACTGCATTGGAGACAACTCAGTGCTCTCAGACAGACTTTTATCCTGATGTGAGCTTTAATTTTTCACCTTCAGAATATTTACATTGGGGGCCTGGGAAGATGGTTCAGTTGGTAAACTATCTGCCTCAGAAGCATGAGAACCTGAGTTCAGTCCTCAAAACCCACACAAAAAGGTGAGCATGGCAGCATGCATGTAATCCAAGTGTGGGGAGACAGAGACAGGAGGGTCCCTGGGACCAAGGAGCCAGCCAGTTCAGCCTAACTGGTGACCCTGCCTCCAAGGAGGTGGACAGAACTCCTGGGGTGACACTGGCATTGTCCTCTCTACACACACACACACGGGTGTAAAAGGTATATTTATTTTTACAGGGTTGTTCAGTAGAATGCCAGTGCTCTCTGTGGGCTACCAATCTCATACCCAGTCCCACTGTTCGTTCTGGGCACACCCTCTACCTCCATCATTGCACAGATGGCACACAGTGCTTTTTCAAATTGATATCTTTCATACACTTGGTGACTTTTTAGGTATGCATACACTTGGTGGCCTGTAAGTTTTGGGCCAGACTGGTCTACATTGTGAGTGTGCATTCCAGGACATCCAGGGGTATGCAGAGAGGCCCTGTTTTAAAAGAAAAACAATTTGTGGAATTTTTGATATTCATAAACTTTATTATTCTAGCTATTTTGTTAATCTTTATTATTATTTCTAATTAAAATTGTTATTAAGGCAGAGCAGTGGCAGAGGCAGAGCGGCGGTAGAGACGCGGTTTTAAGACCAGAAACTGAATTTTTACCCACTGAGAAGTCAGTGAAAACAAGGAGAATAAGAGCTTGTAACAGGGACGCCTTTAATCCCAGCACCCAGGGAAGGAGCTATCTCTATTGGACTAGACCAGAACAAATTTGAACACTCTGCCTGAGGCCAACCCAAGGCCCAGCTGCCGATGCTGTGAAACCCAACAACTTGGAGGTGTTGGTGAGATTGCCCTGCTAAACAACCTACTCAGCTGAGATCCAATCAGGAGAGGATTCAGAATCCTACAGTCTGCAGTCTGAGGAAACAAGATTTGCTGAGGAGTTGATGAATGAGCAAAATGTGACCTGAGAACACAAAAGAAGGCGCCGCCAAGCCACCAAACCAGATCACCAGAATCATAAGCCTACCCTATACCGACTGGGAACAGCTAAGCCCCCATCTCTGGACCAGCCGATCAGGTCTCTACCCCCTAGGCCCTACCCGTCAGAGTCCCAGGGACCAGACAGCTACCTTTCCCTACTCCCCCACCAAAACAAAACAAAACAAAACAAACAAAAAAACCCCAACCCCTATGAACCTAACAACCACCAGAGCCATAAGCCCACCCTGCACCAATTAGGAACAACTGCTCCCTGAGACAGAACCCACTAACACTGATTGGACTAAGCTGCTCCCTGAGAAACAGCGCCCAACAACACTGATTTAACCAAGAACTCCTAGTGGACCAACCTATCAATTAGAACAAGAGAGGCACCTTCAGACACAAACACCACCTACACCGAGCAGAGGAAGAGATGAGTAGACACCGGTGCAAAAATACAGGCAACAACATAAAGACCTATATGACACCATCAGAACCTAGCGATTCTACACCTGCAAGACCTGAACATACCAACACAGAAGAAGCACAAGAAATCAATCCTAAAAATGACTTTAAGAAGATGATAGAGACCCTTAAAGAGGAAATGATAAACTCCCTTAAAAAGGAAATAAAAAATTCCCTTAAAGAAATGGAAGAAAAAACAAACAAAAAATTGGAAGAAATCAAAGAAAGCCAAGAAAAAGTAATTAAACAGATGAAGGAAACAGTTCAAGATTTGAAAATTGAAATTGAGGCAATAAAGAAAACACAAACTGAGGGAACACTGGAAATAGAAATCCTGACTAAACGAGCAGGAACTACAGAAACAAGCATAACCAACTGAATTCAAGAGATGGAACAGAGAATCTCTGACATTGAAGACACAATAGAAAAAATAGATTCATCAGTCAAAGAAAACACTAAAGCCAAAAAAGTTGTAACACAAAACATCCAAGAAATTTGGGACACCATGAAAAGACCACACCTAAGAATAATAGGGATAGAAGAAGGAGAAGAATACCAACTCAAAGGCACAGAAAATATATTCAACAAAATCATAGAAGAAAACTTTCCTAACCTAAAGAAAGAAATACCTATGAAGATACAAGAAGCTTACAGAACACCGAATAGGCTGGATCAAAAAAAAAAGCCCCTCACCACATAATAATCAAAACATTAAACATACAGAACAAAGAAAAAATATTAAGAGCCGCAAAGGAAAAAGACTAAGTAACATATAAAGGCAGACCCATCAGAATAACACCAGACTTCTCAATAGAGACTATGAAAGCTAGAAGGTCCTGGACAAATGTTATGCAGACACTAAGAGACCACAGATGCCAACCCAGACTATTATACCCAGCAAAACTCTCAATTACCATAGACGGAGTAAACAAAATATTCCATGATAAAACCAGATTTAAGGGTTAGAGAGATGGCTCAGGGGGTAAGAGTGTGGACTCTTCTTCCAGAGGACCTGAGTTCAATTCCCAGCACCCACATGGCAGCTCACACCTGTCTGAAACTCCAGTTTCAGGGTACCCCAACACCCATGGCAAAAACACAAATGCACATAAAAATAAAAAAAATACATTTAAAACCAGATTTAAACAATACCTATCCACAAATCCAGCCCTACAGAAAGCACTAGAAGGAAAAATCCAACCTAAAGAAGCTAAACACACCCATGAAAACTCAGGCAATAGATAATCCCACACCAACAAATACCAAAGAAGGAAAATGCAACACTACTACACACACAAAAAAATAACATGAATTAACAATCACTGGTCATTAATATCAATGGTCTCAACTCACCTATAAAAAGACACACTAACAGAATTGATAAGAAAACAGGATCCATCCTTCTGCTGCATACAAGAAACACACCTTAACTTCAAAGATAGACACTACCTCAGAGTAAAGGGCTAGGAAAAGGCTTTCCAATCAAATGGACCTAAGAAGCAAGCTGGTGTAGCTATCCTGATATCTAATAAAATAGACTTCAAACTAGAATGAATCAAAAGAGATCAGGATGAACATTACATATTTATCACAGGGAAAATCCACCAAGATGAAGTCTCCATTTTGAACATTTATGCCCCAAATTCAAAGGCACCCACATTGTAAAAGAAACATTACTAAAGCTTAAGTCGTACATCAAACCCCACACATTAGTAGTGGGAGATTTCAACACACCTCTCTCACCAAAAGACAGCTCTATCAGACTGAAAACTTAACAAAGAAATAAAGGACCTAACAGATGTTATGACTCAAATGGACTTAATAGATATCTACAGAACATTCCATCCTAACACAAAAGAATATACCTTCTTCTCAGCAACCCATGGAACCTTCTCAAAAATTGACCACATGCTTGTTCACAAAGCAAATCTCAACAGATACAAAAACATTGGAATAACCTCCTATATCTTATCGGACCACCATGCCTTAAAGTTAGATTTCAACAACAACAAAAATTATAGAAAGCCTACAATCTCATGGAAAGTGAATAATGCCCACATGAAACACCAATGGGTCAAGGAAGAAATAAAGAAAGAAATTAAAGATTTCCTAGAATTCAATGAAAAGGAAAGTACAACATACCCAAACTTATGGGACACTATGAAAGCAGTGTTAAGAGGAAAATTCGT